ATTAAAAGACCAAAGGAACATTATAAAACAACCTTATACCCACAAATTTGATAACTTAGATAAAATGGACCCATTCCTTGAAATGCGTGATACTAACACAAAAGGAGAGAGAATCTAACAGGCCTGTACCTATTAAAGAAATATAACCAATAATTACCTTGCAAAAAAAAGTGCCAGACCCAGATGACCACTGGTGAATTCTACCCAATATTTAAGGAAAAAATTAACACTTAATTCTCTACAATCTCTTCCAGAAAATAGGAACAGAGGGAATATTTCCTAACTCTGAAGCCAGCATCACCCTAATATTAAAACAAGAGACAATACATGGAAAAGAAACCACATACTAATAACTCTTAGGAACATGGTTTCAAAAGTCCTATCAGCAAATCAAATTCAGCGACGTGTGAAAAGAACTGCGCAACCACAACCGAGTGGGCCTGATTCCAAGCAAGCAGGGCTGACTCAACATTTCAAAGTCAAATAATGTAACCACATCAGCAGGCTAAAGAAATATCAATCCATTAAATCATCAGCTTTGCTCCAATGCTATAAGAATTCCAAAACAAATTAATGAAAAGTTGGTGTTTCAGATACTGGTTCGTGTGTTGCTAAGTATTGTGCGGCCTATACTTTCATAGTTTTAACTCATTTTAAAGGACTAATTTTGTTAGATTTCTAAGAAATTTGCATTTGTGTCGTAAACTTACTTTCCATCAGTGATGGCCAGGCCACCGTCCTAACTGTGTTCTCTCCTCCTCTGATTGCAGAAGCGAAGCAAAACCCTGAAACACGAAGGGCTGGACGTCCCCGAAGTGTAATGAGCGGGGCACTAACTGAGCCGGCCGGCCTTGGCCGTCACAGGAACCCTGGAGTATGATGATCAACCCGACTTTGCACAAAAGAGAACTGGTGCCCGGGGAGTTCACCGGCAAGGCGGGCACCCGGCGGCTGCACGGCGGATCCCGGGTCTGCACGGCGGTGGGGCCGCCTCGCCGCTCTGCACAGGGGGAAAGCGGGGCAGTGGAGCTCACGCGCGGGGCCCAGCGCAGACGGCGGCCTCCGCACCTGCCGCTGGGATGGGCGGTGCGCGCCGGGTCGCCTTCGGAATGTCGCTCCTCCTAAGCCCAGCCCCCGGCAGGCACGGCCGTCCCTCTCCCGGTGCACGGAACGGTCACAGCTGACGGCGGGCACGGCGATGCGGGCGTGGAGGGCAAGCCTGCGGGTTACCGATGCTGTCCGCCTCGTCCCCGCGCCCGGCCGACAGACCGCAGCCGCGAAAGCAGGTGGGCCGCAGCGGCGTCACGTGTGAGCTCAGGGCCGGGGGCGGAGCCTCGGCTGGATCCAGTCGAGAGCCGGGGGCGGGGCCCCGGGAGGGATCTGGGTTGCGGGCGGGGCCATGGGGGCGGGGCCGTGGGGCTTCCCGGATCCGCCGGACAGGGTGGCCCGAGGAGCAAAGTCCGCAGGGTCCGCGACGCAGAGCCGCCGCCGCTCCGAGCCCGCAGCCCGCCCGCGTCCGCAGCATGTCCTTCGTCCCGGTGCCCGAGGGCTGTGACTTCCCGATCCACAATCTGCCCTACGGCGTCTTCTCCACCGCAGGCCACGTGAGCTGCCGCGCCTCTGCGGGAGGGGGAGGAGCGCTCCTCCTCCGGGACCCCGTCCTCCGGGACCCGCTGCGCCCGCACCACACCCCGCCCAGGACCCCCTCCCCGGGACGGACCCTCCGCCGGGACCCCCGCACGGGCCGCCCGGGCTGCGAGGCCGGCGGCGCCGAGCTCCCTGCCTCCAGCCTAAACTTTAATAGTTTTAACCCATTTTGCGGACCCGCTGAAACCCTTTGCGCAGAGAAGACGGCTTTCACTTAGAAGTGTGGTCTTCTGGTGAAGGGGACCTTTGAGAAGTGGGGTTGATCAGCAGAATCATAGGAAGGTCCTTGGGTTTATACTTGGTCTGTTGTGCTTAGGGTCCTGCCCCCAGCCGCACCGGCAAACTCCGACCCAGCTCCGCCCGGCCTGCAGCCCACAGGGCGCAGGAAGTGTCCGCTAAGCGGCCCCTGCGGTCACCCGCCGGTCCGGTACTGCGTCCCCCCGCCGCGGCCGGTCGAGGCCACAGGCGGCGGCCTGCTGGGGGCCTGCCTGCAGCAGATGCCTGGGTCCGCAGGAGTCACCCTGTGGTTTCACAGCCGTGGCCCACCGGATGTTGCAAGGGCAGGAAAAGCAAACAGTGGCCTGGCGGGGACCCACGTACAAACGGGCATGTTAAGCCTTGGTCCGTGCGGCCCCAGCACTCTGTACCCCCCCGTGTCCCGCTGTACCCCTTGGCGGCCCCGACCCCGCCTTTCCCCGAGTACAAATCATCAGTCACCGCGGGTGCCCCGACTTCTTTCCCAGAGGACTCGGGAATTAATGGCCTCAGAGTGTGGCCAGTGGCCTTCAGGCGCCGAGCCGCTGCACTCTTCACACCAGAATGCGCAGGGACAGCCCCTTGGAAGGTCTGCGGGGGAAGAGCCCCTTCCCGCCGCCCTCTGGAGGCTTCCGGAAGCCTCAGGTACAGGCCTCGTCTGCAGCTGTGGCTGCCGGCCTCCAGCTCTCCCGGGGTGGTGGCGGTCTCTCCAGGCTGGGCTGGTTGCCAAGGCGAAGCCCCCTTACCTGCCAGCAGCCAGCTGCCCATAGTGTGGGTGGAACACGAGTGAATTGAACCAGCCGTCACTTAAGCTTTTCATACAGCCAGTGCTATGGACCCTGGGCTGGGAGCTGGGGGTCACAGACACGTGTCACACTCCGCCTGCATCTTGCTCATGGACGCGCACGGCGCCCAAGGCTCTCTGTGAAGACAGGGACGGTGGCTTGAGAAACACACACGGTGTGATCCGGAGCTGACAGCCAAGTTGTTAGGGTCGTGGTCTTGCCTGCCCCTACCGGCTGTCCCTTCTCTCCAGCTGCACTGGCTGCCTTTCAGTTTCTGGAACATTCTAAGAGCAGCTGGGACCCTAGCATGTATTGCTTCTGCCTGGAATAGTCCTCCTTCTGCTCTGTACATGCCTGATTCCTCCTCCCTCTTCCGGACCCAGCTTGGGTGTCACCTCTGCAGAGCGTGTCCCTAAGCACGTTCACCAACCACTCTCCCTGCTGTACCCCAGCCATGTGCCCTGCACCTCCTTTTGCTCCTGGGGGGCTGGAGCCAAGTGCTCCCCCCCACTTCCCTCACCCCCAGCACTTAGCAGCCTGGGCGGGGAGGGGACGCTCCCCATACAGCGCCGATTGAATGTCCACCCCGTGTGGTGTCGAGAGATTCAGTTGAATTCTCACGACCACCCCGTGTTATTGCCTGCATTTTGCAGGTGAGGAAACAGGCCCAGAGAGGCTGCTTCCAAGCAGAGAACCCTCAGCTGGGAGGCGGGTTTGGGACTGGATTGCAAGCCCCCGACTTTCCCTCTTTGTCCAGCTGGTGGCTGTAAAGCCTTCCTTTGTACCCTTTCTGTCCGATGTGACCAGATGTCATGAAGCACAGCAGTGGGCATGCACTCTCCTGATAGATGATTTTTTCACTATTTTTCACTATTTGTCTCCCTTAACCTGTACACGGTAACCAGAGGCCCTGAGAGGGTCGGGGCCCATCAGAGGGACAGGACCGCGAATATGGAGCCTGCGGGAGGCCAGGGATACTGGGTCCCAGCTGAGTCCCCTCTGAGTCCGGTGCTGAGGAGCGTAGCTGTCAAGTACCAGGACTCACTGTCAGCCTCGCCCGGGGCACCGGGGCACATTTAAGAGCAGAATCTCTGCTTTGCTTGCAGCTGTGGGAGAGGCGGTCATGCTGCGCGCAGCTCTAAGAAGTGGCTCAGCAGTGCGGGCTCCCTCCTGCCTTCTGGCGTGGGGTCCAGCGTCGGAGAAGTGGCCCAGGATCCGCCCTGCCCATATCCCGAGTATGGGGCCTCTGGGGTCCCCGTGCTTAGCTCCTGGCCCGTCACAGCAGTTGCCGTCTTCCAGAGGGGGCACAGAGGCCCAGGGAGTCAGCAGTGGGACCGGGACAGAGTCGGCAGGCTCCCCGGGCAGCCTTCTCCAAGGCAGGGTCTGCCCGGGGCTCGGGGCCAGTGTGTGTGTGGCTCTGGTCTGACCCTGGACCCAGGGCTGACATGCATGGACAGTGGCAGTCTTCTCCTGCCACGCAGAAATGAGCAGCTAGTGGACATAAGGCTGGGAACCCCAGCTCTCAGCTCCCTGGACAACAGGCAAAGCTGGCCCTTCGGAGAGCTGGGTGCTGGCTGAGGACAGAGTCCCAGGGCAAAGGCCAGGCTTTGCCAAATGTCAGAGTCGTCTTCCTAGAGCTGAAGCTGGGGCTTCATGCAGTAGAAGGACCTCACCATGTGGTCCTGAGCTGTCTGGTTTCGTGCCCCTCATGACTGAGCCCTGCTCTGCTGGAGCCCTAACAAGGCAGTGACCCTGGCCCCCGACCCCAGCACTGTGCGTGGGGCACCCGCTCTGCCACGCACGGGAACTGCCCTGTGGGAGGGCCTAAGTTAAACCTGAGAAATGACCCAGTCACCTGGTGAGGGGTGAGCTCCTCATTGAGGCATTCAAGCAACTCTTGAGGAGCTGCCCGTACGCAGGGCCCGGAGCAGGCGGCTTGCACCTGCCCCATCCCAGGGGTGTCTGAGTTAGCTCCTGGTCAGTGGACACAGGTTCTTTCCCCTTCTTGCCCTGGAGGTAGACATGGCAGCAGGTGAGCCTGGGCAGAGGTCACAGAGGGAGCAGGGCTGAGGCCCAAGCCTGGAGACCCACGGGTGGGCTCTTAACCTTCCCGTGCAAATGAGCCCGACCCTGCTGAGGCTTCTCCCGCCGGCCCTCTTCCTCCCAGCCAAGACCCAGGATCGGCGTGGCCATTGGCGATGAGATCCTGGACCTCAGCGTCATTAAGCACCTCTTCACCGGGCCTGTCCTCTCCAGACACCAGGATGTCTTCGATCAGGTGGGGCGCTGTGACGCGGCTTGTCCGCATCTCGCCAAGAACCTGCTCTTTCCCTTCCACGTCTGGTAGACGTAGTGCCTTTGGAGATCCCAGAGCTCTTACGGGATAAGGCTGGGGTTTGGGCACAGTCCAGCTGGCGGAGGGCGGCTTTGGGCCCCCTCCCATAGGTTCCCAGGGAAGAGGGTCAGTCTCTGCGGTCCTGGGCCTGGCCGCATCGTCCCTGAGATCAGGCTCCCTGGTAACCGGTTACCTTCCTGCTGGGGTGCCAGGCCCTGCCTGTCTCGGGGCCCCCGGACTGGGAGCCACACGTCCTTCCCTCTGCACCTGCAGATGCAGCCCGGGAGGGTGGGCAGCTGACTCCGCGTGCCCTCTGTTAGGCCTCAGCCTGAAGCACACACCCATGGGGCGGACGTGAGTTTACTGGCTGCTAATGGGCCTCCTGGCGAATTCCCATTCCTGGGCCAGGAAGGAGGGTGATGGGGACACCCACTGTGTGCCAGCAGCTTTCCACAGAGCTCTTGTTTAGTCCTCACAGCAACCTTCTGGCATAGGAACTGCAGTCCTCATGAGGTGAGGATCTAGTCTGATATGGGACACAGTTTCCCCAGGCCATGTGGCTGCAGGTAGGGAGCCGGGGTTGGAACCTTGGCCTTCAGAGTCCACCAGTGCTTTTTATGCCACACTTCGCTGGCCAAGAAACCTTACCTTACGTGGAGGGATCAGTGCAGACCCCTGCAGATAACCCTGTAGACTGGAGCGGGTCTCCTCCACCTTCGGCTACAGGTGGGTAGCCGGCCCACCGGCTTAGCTGGCCGCTCCTGGCCATTGACAGCTGTGCACACGTCCACAAGGGGATGAAAGGTGCCTTTCCCCGGCTCACTGGACAGATGGCAGAACTAAGAACAAAAGCCCTGGGATCTTGAGTGAACTGGAGAGAGGGCTGGCGACCCCTCCTGTCTGCAGGAGGGTACGCCTGGGGCTTCTCACGGGCATCCTTGTGCTCGCTCTGTTTTGGTGCCAGCCTGCTCTCAACAGCTTCATGGGCCTGGGCCAGGCCGCCTGGAAGGAGGCGAGGGCATTCCTGCAGAAACTGCTGTCTGCCAGGGAAGCCAGGCTCAGAGATGATGCGGAGCTTCGGAAGTGGTGAGGAGCATTGGTGGGTGGGGAGGCGGGGACGCGGCAGGGGAGTGGGGGCAGCGTGGTGGTCAGGACTGCTCTGTGTCCCCACTTCGCTGCTTGGCCTCGTCCAACCCCTGCAGGGCTGCGCACAGGCGGCAGGCTCTGGGCCGGCTGGGACCACCTGTGTGCCTGGCCTGGGGTGTCCAGGCCGCCCGGGCCCCTGGCTGGCTCCCTTCCTCGCTCAGCCATCCATCGTCAGCATCCCCCGTGCCCTTGTCCGGTTCCAGCGAAGAAGGAGTTCAGTCTGTCCCTAGAGTGGACACAGGAGCAGGAGGGGCCCCCGGCTGCAGTGGGTGGTCGTCCCCCCAGTGGGGCCGTCTCAGCTGGGCTCCGGCCCTGCCAGCCTACAGGTGCCCACCGAGGGCCGACTGAGCAGTGTCTGGGGAGGTAGGGACTGAGCCTTCAGGTGGGCCACCAGAGCAGGGACCCCGTTCCCGCTGCTTGCCCGTGACCCTTGGGTTCTGTTTCAGCGCCTTCACCTCCCAGGCTGCAGCGGTGATGCATCTCCCGGCCACCATAGGTGAGGATGCCTGTCTGGCATGGGCCACTGCCGCTCGGTGGGGAGGTAGTGGAGGAGCGGCCACCCCCCACTGCCGGCCAAGACTCAGGTCCTGTGCTGAAGCAGAGCTTTCGCTGAGCGAGTTGCTGGCTGCAGATTTTCGGTTTCTCCCTGCACAGCAAACCACTCTTTTCCCAAAGGCCGTCCGGGAAGAACCCTGAGCCCCACCTGTGAGTCAGGAGGGAGGCCGGAGGGTGCGGAAGGCCCCGTGCGCCTGGGAACGCAGGAGGGCGTCTGAGGGGAGCTTCAGGCAGGCATCTGGGGTTACCCAAGCTCAGCCTGGAGCAGACAGAGGCGGGGTCCGCCTGGGCAGGGCCCTTATCTGCATGCCCCTGGCTGGCCTGCTGGTTTGTGGGTACCTGTCCCTCGGGGAGACTCCTGGTGGCAGCTGCCCCAAGTCTGTGCCCATGTTCTGGAAGATCCCTGAGCCTCGCTGTGGACGACCTCCCAAAATGTCAATATTTGCTGACCCTCATCTCAGTATTAGAGCATGAAAGACAGTTGAAATGCTGTGCTTGGAAGTGCGTACAGTCAGGGTGAAGTCCAAGCCCAGAACGCCTTCCCCAGTGCCCAGCTGACAAGGACGTGCCTCCTTTCTGCCACCCTTTCATGTCGTCTCTTGGCCGTCTGTTCTCCGCTTCTTCCTGAGCTCTGTCTGCTTTTCTGCGGCCTTGCTGAGCAGGACCCACAGACCTGCAGGCCCTTCACGGCTCCCTGACCTTCAGCCCCGGACGCAGTGGGCGGGCGTCCCCACAGTGTGACTTTAAATCACCGCGAGTCGCAGCCTGTCCCTGCTTCTCCCCGGACACCTGCCGTCCGCCTGCCTCTGCAGGTCTCCCCTCCCAGAACTCTCAGCCCCGTCGGTGGGTCTGTCCAGTTGCCTCTACGCCCCAGTGTCACTGTTGTTCTTCCCCTTATATTATTTTTTCTCAAAACATATTTTTTTAATGAAATAAAACTTAATAGTTAGGGTGGTTAAAAAAAATTTTTTTTTAATTGTGGTAAAATGCACATGACATGGAATTTCCCATTTTAGTGGTTTTTAGTGTGCAGTTCTGTGGTCCCACATCACTGCCCTTGGGAACGGGCACCTCCAGATGGGGCGGGAACTCCCTGCACCTTACCATGGCCTGGCCTGCCTCCGCCCTCTCCAGCCCCCTTTAAGGGTCTCCGTGTAGGTTTACACATGTATATAGGAAACAGACAAGGGTTAGAAACAGTCACATTTCTTAAGAACTCGCAGGAATGCCCTGGAACGCTGCGCCAGCTCTGCCGTGGGCTCTCTCGGGGCCGTGCCGCAAACTGCAGCGTGTCACTGGAAAGTGAACACAGGTGATAAACCTCATGATCTATTAGGTTCTTACCACTTTTCTGGAAAAGATTCACTCTAGGCATCTGCTCTGATCTTCTCCAGTGCAGAACTGAGTTGAAGTAACAGCCATAGCTGGACGGCAGTGACTCCCCATGGGGCAGGGAGGGGTTCTCGTTGGCCTGCTGTGTGCCCGGCGTTAGGGCACCACCCCAGGTGGCCTTTCCCCCACCACAAGGGCGTGCCTGCGACTGGCATGAGGCCTAGAGGGGAAGCAGGCCGAACGGCAGGGCCTTCCTGGAGGCCAGAGCCCCACGCAGGGGTGCCCAGGGTGCCGTCTGTGGGGCCCTTCGCCTGTGAAGTAAGAATAACACGAATCCCTGAGTTGAAGTAGTTTTAAACCAGGCCCCCTCTGGTCCTCAGACCCGGAGATCTTAGGACATAAACTCGCTCAATTCCATGTTTCTGTTTTTAAAAGAAGAAGCGAGCCTCGTTTCCTTTTCTCTAGTTTTCGTGAATGGTTTGTGTCTTACATGCCTTCCTCCTCCAAGAGAGCAGGGGCACCATAGGTCCGGTGCCGGACGGCAGGCACGGAGGCGGGCTCTCCGGGCGGGTGGGCAGCGGGACAGGCTGGCGCAACCGCGGCCTGAGGCCCAGAGGCCCAGTGCCCTCACTCTTGATTCGCTCCTTCACGGTTCTGATCCCCCAGGGCCCACTGCCCATTCTCAGGTGCGGCGTCCTCACTGGCCTGTGGAAGGGTGCTTCTCCTCGTCTCCGGCCTGCACCTGTTGGTCCTGTCTCTTCGTTCCTCCCTTCTCCAGTTCAGTGGGCACCTGTCTCCTGGGGAGGGTGCCCCTGGGCGCCGGGGGGTCCTGGGATCTGTGCTGCTCCGTCCGTGTGTGCAGAACTATGTCCGCCGTCTGCCGAGGGTGCTTCCCAGACCGGCCTCAGGAGGAGGGGCGGTAGCCCTGGTTTCCTTCCCCATCTGCCCTCGAGGCCCCACCTTTCAGGGTTCCTTGTGCTTGGTGGCGGGTGGCATCCTGCTTGCTTTCCTACGGGTTCATCCTAACCCCTCAGGGGTTCCCCCGTGCCTTGGGAATGGAGATGGGAAGGGTGGTGAGGGCACGGCGCTCTGCCACCTGCATGCCCGGCTGCAGGCTGTCTTTCTCTCCCGCTCTGTCACTGCTTCCCTTTCTAGTCTGGACTGTTGGGGATCTGCCTGCTTTTTTTGAGCTTGTTTTTCCTGTAGAGGTCAGGCCGGTGGATCAGAAGCCTGCCTCCTGGGGTTCCAGTGAGGGGTTTGTGAGGGGGGTGCCCTTCAGAGTGTGCGGTCACTTCATGGTAGGGGCCTGCAAGGTTCCCAGGACTTGGACACAGACAGGGAGACAGACAGACACAGCCCAGTGCAGGCAGAGCTTCAGCAGAGGTGGGGTGAGCCGAGCCCAGAGGGGTGGGGGGGTCAGCGTTTCGTGTCCACATTCCACTGTCTGTTTCAGAGTCTTGGCACCTTATTTCCCATTTGTTTCTCGGTAGGGGGGTTCAAAGGTGACGCTGTAGTGAGGCCGATTTGTGTCGCATTTCATGCCAGACTTTGGGATGGAGGAGGTGGTGGTTGTGCGCTCAGGGCATTGCCTGCCAACCCTAGGCTGCACAGGGGCAGCTGCCCCCCCGGGGCCCTCGTGGCCCCCTCCCCAGTCCTGGGAACTGCCCGTCTCGGCCCTGAGGCACCCGGGTCACTGAAGGGCCCTCTGTCTTCCTCGGCAGGTGACTACACAGACTTCTATTCCTCTCGGCAGCACGCTACAAACGTGGGGATCATGTTCAGGGGCGAAGAGA